GGTGGGGTGGGGGGGCCTTCCTGCCGGATCTTTGATCTAAGCTGGGCCTTGAGGAGGCAGAAGTGTTTTGCGGGATGAGTCTTTGGGGGTAGTGGGGCCTCACAATTGTGTGAGAAGGAGCCAGGGGAAGGACAATGCCTTGGAGAGGCTGGATTTGAGTGGCTGGCCAGGCATCACAGGGGAATGTCCAGGGGGCACTCCCAAGGTAGGGCTGTGCAGCTGGGGTGCAGGTACGAAGTGGGTGGGACTCAGTTTTCAGAAGAAGAAACTATAGAGAAGGAAGATGGAGACCGGAGACCGAGGACAGGTGCCCAGACCCCTGGGTGGAGAGGGGAGCGGCCTGGAAGGCGGAGGGGATCAAAGAACAATTCTCCAGGAGAGGCAGGAGGCGTGGCCAGAGACACCCCACCCCCACCCCCGCCCCCAGCAGGGGCCCTGAGGAGCCTGTACATGTGGGAGCTTTCAGAATGCAGGGCCTTTGGTCCACCCCTTCCTCAGAACGGCACCGTCTCTCCCTTCCTGGCCCGCGGCCCAGCAGCGGGTCTGCAGCAGCCGGCCTTCCCTGGGGCTCCGGGGGGAGGAGGCCAGGCTCTCAGCCTGGTGTCAGTGGCCACCCATCCCGGGCAGCTGCCTAATGATGGGACGCCAGATCCGCCAGATCCGCCTTTGAGCTGCAGAGATGAAAGCGGCCACAGGCGGCTGGGGGCGGGGTGGGCAGGCAGGGGCAGGCCTGCTGGAGGCTGCAGGCCTCCTTCCCACATGAGCTGGAGGCTCACCGGGAGTGAGAGGGAGCCTCCGCTTAAATAAGTGGGGCCCGGGAAAGCTGTGCTCCTGTCCTGAGGACAGGGCCCTTCGTGCATTGCTGACCGCAGGCCCCGGCTTCCCGCACAGCCTGCCCGCACCCACCCCCACCCCTGTTTGGGCCGGGCTGGGCCACCCCCAGGGAGCAGTGAGGAGGCCCCCCGAAACCAAGGTGTGGGCAACCTGATCCAGGTGGCACATCCCGCACCTACCACCCTCATTCACCTTTTCTATTGGTTTTACCCTCCTCCGAGCTGCATCCTCCCCCACCCCACTGTGATAGGAAGATATGAAATGTGGGGGGAGGGCTGCTGGGGAGAGGGGTGGATGGCAGAGAAAGGACCAGCTGCAAGGGAGGCGGCTGTGGCGAAGGATGCAGTGGAGTCAGGCGGGCTCCTCTGCAGTTCACTTCTCTCCTCGGAGCCTTAATTTTCTCACCAGCAACATGGAATGAGGGGCGTCACAGGCCCAGCACGTTTAGAGGATTGTCACGAACAAACGCGAGAATGAGTGACCGTTCCAAGCTGTCGAGGCATGTATTGGCGGTTACCACAACCACCGCTGCATCAGTTTCAACGTGAGGCCCCGGAGCCCAGTTTGGGGAGGATCTGTGGAATGCCTGAATTACGTGTAAAATGCCTGTGAGGGCATCTTTCTGGGTGGGAGCCATAGCTCTTCGAGGACTGGACCCACACACAGGGTCTTCTGAGGTGAGTTAGCTGAGACCCAAGCTTCTATGGTTTGTCAGAGGCAAAGGCAGACCTGGGACACTGGTCCCCCATCCTCTCCTCCTTGCTGCCCCTCCAGGTCAGGTGAGGGGAAGGGAGAGTTTGAGATCAGGGAGGGGAGAGCAGCCAGAGGGGGAGCCCCAAGTCCTCACACTGTTACCAGGATAAGGACATCACAGTGGAGGGTGGGGGTCGGAGGGTGGGAGACGGTGGGACAGGAAAACGAGGAAGCCTTAGGATTTGGGGGAGCCTGGGGGGGCCAGGCCTAGGAAACACTTCCTGGAAGTTGAGTCAATGAGGCAGCTTCCCAGTTTCCCTTTCCCAATAAACCCCCCTTCCCAGAAAGGGCTCTGAGGAGGAGACACAACCCTGGCCCCAATGCCATCTCGGGATTCTTTGGCTCCTGTTGCCACTTTTGGAAAAGCTGAAGATGCCACGTCGAAGCTTCACGGGAAACGGAAAGGCCACACACAGGCGTGAAGTTGTCACCACCCAAAGATGCATTTATTGAGCAGCTACCAAGTGCCAGGCATGTGCCGGATGCTTTGCCGACATCGGCATAAATGTCACCCCTTCAGGAGGCCTCCCTGACTGCCTGGTTAGACTAAATCCACTGCTTTCCCTCACCTTCCGTTATCCTCACGTTCCGTTCCTTCCTGTGTGCTCCTTTCATCCCCTCTCCTCCACTCGGCTACCATCTTGCCATGGGCAGGAGTCACGTCAGTGTACCGACTGCTGTCCCTCCATGCTAAGCACAGTGCCAGCCCCTAGTGGTCACTCCAATAACTTGTTAAATGAACTCAGGACTGTCTCCCGTCTTCACAACAGCCTTATGAGGTAGCTATCATGGTCATGCCTGGTGCAGAGGAACCACGGTGGAGAGTCAGAGACTTGCTGAAGGACAGCTGGTTCTTGCCAGGCTTCAGCCCGGCTCCTCCCCCTGATGGATTTGGAGAACAAGGGAACCGAAGGGTCAGAGAGAACGTTTGGGTCTAGCGGAATGGCTCCCCCGTCAGTGCAGCCACCACCCTGTGCTCAGCCTTCCCTCCCAGCTCTCCCAACCTCTCCTCGCGCCCTGTGAGCTCCGAGTCACCAACCTGCAGGAGGCCAGGCCCCACTGGCCTGTGCATTTCTCAAGCCACGCGAGAACCTGTCCTTCCCACCCACCCGGAGCAAGCTACAGCTGGGAGCCCATGCCCCGCCCCTCAGCCCTCACACAGCAGATAAATTAGGGGACTCTTATAAAACATGTACAGGGAAGACACATACATACAGAGCCAGTGACAGTGCCGGGCGGCGTTCGCTTCTTGAACACAAGGTCCTGCCCATTAGGGTGCCTGCCCTCTCCTGCGCTCTCTCCCTGGAGTGGCTCACCTGCTGTCCCCCTAAGCTGGCACCTCAGCAGGTCACCACAAATCACAGAGGTCCACCATCCTTCCCCAAAAGGAACCGATTCCTTGCTGCCCACGCCAGGCTTGCACCTCTGCGGTGGGCCCCTCCCTGCCCTCCCTCCTCACCAGGCAGCCTGCCTCGGCCTGGTCCCAGGAATCCGGCCCACCAAGGCAGGGAGGACAGACCGAGGAACGCTGCTTCCTGACATGTTTGGCGACCACGTATCATCCACACCAGGACTTGAATGAGAGCGGAAGGGGGTCTGATTCACTGGAAACCAGGCACACACCAGGACTGCTCAGGGGAAGGATGCATGGCTGCCCTACCGAGGGGTCCCTGCTCTGGACTGGCCCAGCCCCACCGCTCTTGACTTTCAGAAACATGCCTGTTGGCAAAGATCTCTCAGATCACACCTCCCCTCTCTGCCACCTCCCGCTCTCCAACACCTCCCAGCATTGTGGTGACACATTTTAAGGCCTCACTAATATCGGGGACCTGTAGCACGGGGGTTGGGAGGAGGAGCTGGGAACGATGCCCCCTCCAAACCCCTGGTAGGACTCGGCTAGGTAAGGCTTTTGGTGTTGAGCCCTCGGCCTTCAGGCTCCTGGAGCCCCATCTCCAAATCACAGCACCCGGGTCCAAGTAGAAAAGCCAGCCTTCATTCTCTGCTCCCAACCCGGACTGGCCAGGCTTCTGCCTTCAGGGCTCCCGAGCTGAAGACCAGGGCCAGAGAGAAATGAATCATCAATTCCCCGGGACCCTTCCCTCCGCCAATCAGTGCAAAGCCCTGCCTGGCACCTTCGCCACATGCCGTGTAGGCACATTCCCGGTCCCACCTCCTATGCTAGGAGCCGCAGGAATCAGCTCTGGGGGTGGCAACTGATGGAGGCTGGAGAGAGCAACCTGTGGCGCCCTCACCCACACCCGCCAAGCCCTTCATGAGGGCCTGACAGCAATCACAGCCACCCCAAGACCCGTTCCCCTTCAGGTTTAATGCCCGCCCCTCCTTTTTAGAACCTGCTTTAAAGGAGCCTTACTCAGGCAGATAGTGCCTGATAGCGGAAAGCCATGCTCCAGGCCCTGGGAGCCGCCTCCTCTCCTCCCTCCTTCCCCTCCCCGCCATCCGCAGGCCGTCCACAGCTCCCTGGGAAACAGAGGCCCACTCCGATCTTCCTCTGGCCACTGCTTCTTGCTGGCTGTCCATCTCTGTCTTCCGGGAACAAAAGGCTCCTCTGTGTCTGAGTCCGGCTGCGCCCCTCCCACCCCCACGAAAACCAGTGCCCAGATCGAACCCTCGGAGGAGAGCTGCCAGGCCCGCCCCTGGGGGCTCAGGATAGGGCATTCCGATGGGCCCCTGGATGGAGCCCTGGGTAGGCGTAGGAGATGGGATGGCGGGTCCCAGGCCGCACGGTGAACGTGTTGATGGGGCTTCCGTAGTGGGGGGTGCTGCGGGGAGACCTGGTGGGGCGCAGAAGAGAAATGAGGTGTCTTTGCAGCTGGTTAGCCAACAGCCCCGCTTTGTCCCCAGGGCTTAGATGCTGCTCAGCGCTACGGTTTCTGCCCCACCAGCCCTGGGCTTCATCAACCCAGGCCTCCCCCTCCAGTCCAGGCCCTGTGGCCACACAACACTACCTAATCCCTTCCCCTCGGGACCGTGGCGCCCAGCCCGGCTCTGGATCTTCTGTGTGGTGGAGATATCGCCCCCAAGGACCTCTCAGATCTCCCTCCAGCCCACACTCGGCCTGGAGCCCTGGGAGTCGGGGCAGGGGGGCCTGGGAGGGAGGGAGGAAGGGAGAAGAGGGCGAGAGAAGTGGGGGAAGCAGGAGATCAAGGGAGATGAGGAAGCAGGGGTGGGGAGCGCCCCCTGCAGGTAAAGTGAGCCTCCCTCCCCTTTCTCTGGGCCCTGAAAGCCAGAGGGTAGAACACCAGATGTGTCCCAAGGCCCGGTCCACGGGGGCCTCCACCTCCCTGGCTGCCCACCGGCGCTCCCTCCATCGCCCCAGCCCCCAGCTCACCTGCCCGTAGCAGAGGCGAGAACGTGGTCGCCGCCACCGGGCGCTTTGTACTTGGCGTCTCCGCGGGTGGAGCCCTCCAGGGACATCC